GTTTGGCAGTCCGCCAAGGAATCATGCGACAATTCCGGAAAGAAACCTTCACTTAATATTCGCGCAGAGTTAAATCACGCTAAAGTTAACTCTTCCGGCAAGAAATTGATTCAGAGAGAGAAAAACGGGCATGACAAGCCAAGCCAAAGGCGGGGAACGTCAGTTTCGAACATGGAACATAACGCAGGACCTGAACAATGCTCACTAGCCTGGGTATTCATGCATGAATCTGTTGATTCACGTACAATGGCGAACCAATGCATTCTCAATTTTTGGTTAAGCAACCGGAATAAATCGAAAAGTTAATTTCCGTATATCCAGAGCACGGGGTTTAAAAACGTAAAGTTCTACCTGTGCTTAATTAATTAAGCACCACGCCACGAAGTCCCATAGGGGAGTACAGGTATAGCTCAACTACTTAACAGAGATACAGATGAGTGGTCAGCTTCACGCCCCTTCCACTTTACCCCCGAGGAAAGAGCCCCCGGTACCCATTGGAAAGGAGGCTGGGTGGACCCCAGAGCCGCTCTGGACCCTGTGAAGTGAATCTTGGGGGTACCGGGAATCGCACTCCGGCCGTCCGACCCGTGGCCCGTCACTATACCAACTGAGCTATGCAAGGGGTTTAATTTTCGTTAATTCCAAACGGGAGGGCTCATGAGAAGCGCGCAGTAGCAACATCGAACTTCGGAACCGCCTCAGGATCTGCCTAAGAGCCAGAGCAAGTGTCTGCAGGCCACCTGCAACTGTCAGCAGCGCCGCCATATGACATCAACACTGGGTGTAACAATAACAATTTTCTTGCTTTGTTGCAAGTCAGAAGATGCCAAATAATGTTATTTAGTTACTTGTGTCGTAGGCCGCGCCATAGCTCAAGCGGTTAGTCGCTGGCTTCCCACCGCGGCGGCCCGGGTTCGATCCCGGGTCTGGTCAAGTGGGATGTGTGGTGGACAAAGTGGCGCTGGGGTAGTTTCCTCCGGTTACTTCGGTTTTCCCTGCCAATCTTCATTCCACAAAATTCTGCACAATCACCCCCACCTATCATCTGGGGCTGGTACAATAGGCCAGAAGTGGCGGCAGTACAAGGGACTTAGTCCCACCCCACTAACAGTAAAACAAATACTTGTGTCGTTGCGTTCCTTTAACGACGCCTGTTAAGGGGCCAAATACACAAATTATGTCTCTTTGCTTGAATTTTTAGGTCTGCCTAACTTTTCGAAACTCTAGGGAAACATTACGTCTCCATTACAAAGACCAACCGGTTAATGCTGTTTAGGGAAACAATCGCTGTTTACTGTGAGAACCACACGGAACATACAGATAATATAGAGATTCAGTCCGTACCTCACAGGAAAAACACTACGTCTCGGCTACAAAGCCCAACCGGTTAATGCTGTTTAGGAAAACAGTCGCTGTTTATTGTGAGAACCACACGGAACCGAATGACTCCAAAGAGCCGAGTCTTTCTTGAGACGCCAGCAGTCGCTCATCTCCTTGATAAGGGTCCCTAAAATTTGTATGGAACCTGAATATTGACTATCATGTTCACAAGACCCCGCCACTGGTTCCTATCCTGTGCCAGATCAATCCATTTCTTTCCCCCACCGTACGAAACAAACAATTATGCGAGAAAAATACAGAGGTTCTGAATGTTACAGCAGGTGCTACGTATAGTAACCGCTGTGCTTCAAAGGGGTGCCCGCCTCTTCATTTTGAAGCAGGCCTACGCCTAAATGCATTTTCCGAATGCGCCTCTGCACACCGTACCGGAGCTGCGGGTTGCTAACACTGGCCGGGCCTACCTGTCTCTCGCTTTCATAAGCACAGGTGACAGAAATTGTTTTTCTTGTACTTCCTTAAACAGGTTACGCATGACACAAAATGTGCAGTCTACATATGATTAAAAGATATAACATTATGGAAACATCTGCCGAAATGGTTCGCGAGTTCGATCCCAGCTTGCCTCACTGATCTTAGTATAATCTACCAGCAGAATGACGAGCAACCACTTGAGGATGGGAACAGATCCAACTTCCGAAACGGCCTCTATACCACATACAATGTCCAACATAATATCGGTATAACTGATCAACCAGTCATAATGTCGTTACATACGTGCAACAAACATCATGTTAAGGTTCTAGTCACCTTTCCTTATATTATGTCTGACTTGACTCAATTCTTATACCCTGAAGATGGAGGCAGCAGGTTCCTCCGAAACGCTGTTACCAACTGAGACTAGAGAATGTCACATCCAAGATGACCATGAGACGAACACTCACAGTCATGAATCTGTGACCTGACACAGCAGTTTGTGCACCGTCCCAGCTCTTCACGCTACAAGCACGCAGACTTCCACATATCCCGTGATGGATCCATTTATTTTGGACAGCACTGTCCAGTACTATTTGTAGTCTGCAGAGCGCCACACACATCTGGACGGAGGCCAAGAGCTTCCTCTTGCAGCACCCGCGTATCTTCAAGTGGCCAGTGCAACGATAAAGCCAAGTCTTCACGGCAGGCTTCCACACTTCACTGCCTCCCATAAACACCTCATACACGGCCAGCCGGCCTACCACACGGCTTCAGTTTCTTACCGATAATTTGTGAATGGTAGTATAACTCCACGCATTCCTAAACTCGGCACTATATGGAGGTAAGCGGTCAGCTACACGCCCCGGCCGCTTTACCACCGAGCAAACCCCAGCATTCGTTAGGACGCTGAGTGGGCCCCAGAACCGGTCTGGGCTCTGCTTAGCCCTAGACTGGTCACTATACTGACTGAGCTAGTCAGGCACAGACGAACTGCTTGTACCCTTCAACAAACAGGCCTAATATTGTGGCCAATAACAGTCGCGAATTGCTGGACGGGTTTTCAGTAAATCTGCATAATAAGGAGTTTCACTGAATTTTCCTGACGTATTTAATTCGGGTTAAAAATCGGACAGCAATACCGGACACTTCACATGAAGACATACGCACGTTTCTGTGCTCGTCTCGACCCTAACCCGGGAAGTATTTATCGGAGCGAAACATGTTTCAGAGCTGTGGAGGAAAGCGAAACACAATTTGCCCGCACGCACGCACACTTCTGTAAATTCCCCATCATCATGATCACCCGGGGCAGGTACAATAGGCCAATCAGTGGCCGACGTGCCGAGTGGACACAGCTGGACTCCACCTCCCCCCCCCTCACTATGCGAATTTATAAGAAAATTAGGTCGCTGCTTTAGGCAATCTGATCTTTTCCGAATTGACACGTTCATTTCTTATTTTTATTGAAACGGTTCGGTCCCGGCGCCTCCACACGGCGTCACGGTTCCATTTGTTCTGAAGCAACTCTCTCTCGTCTTCTGTTCCGCCATTATTTGGGCCGCTAGTCTCTTGTTTCTCACTGCCAAAGAACGCAACGCAGAATCGGAGAGATAAACGAGGGCATTACTCCCCGCTGGAGGCAAGATAAGTGGAGACCGCTGAAACCAAATGTTTATAGCGAATACTGAACTTTACTATTTAACAGTTTCCTGCAGGGCAGTACACAAAACGGAGCGCTGAGATGGACACAGACTGACTTGGAAGGTAACAAGTCTGCCATCAATATAAAGAGACTGCAAACCAATGTGGGGACATTAACAGAACACATGACAGACGAACCCACCATGAAGTGAGCTACATATGACTTAGTGCTCCGTATTTATCTATGGTTTATTTAAAGGGCGGCCGGCGAGTAAGGCTGACAACCTCACCGCTATCTGTTAGCCGACTGTCTAGACTATGTGGGGGCCTCGACGTCTCACAACCATATGGGCCTCCACGGTCTGTTACAGGAATACCTTTACTTCTTTTTTGCCTTTGCAGCTGCGGCCTCGTGTATCGTGTAAAGCGACGACGAAATTTAATGAACAACGAACTGAAAAAGGCAATGGAAGACACCAGTCGTGGCTTAAATAGAAATATTATCTGGACAAATGGCTGGAGGGCCTGAGGAAAATCCCAAGAACCTCTGAATAGACGGTCTCCGAGCCAGGATTGAATCCGGGAGTCCAAACCAACTGGTGCAACACTAACGCTTTGGATTAATATTAGGAAGTGCTGGGTTCGAATGTCGATCGGGGCACCGGGTGTCTCGGCTGAGGTTTTGCGTGATTCTCTTTGGTCCCTATAGGCAAATTCTAGGGTAGTACCTTCATTAGGCCACGACCACTTCTTTCCGTTTCAATAATAACCAATGATCCCATACACCAGATACTGAAAGCGCCGTAAAGTAGGCAACAACGAAATAACGAATGATCTTGCAAAGCAGAACATCCTGTATAAGCGTACACAGTATTGCAAAGCAAAGCACAAACCTGTCAAAATATAAATGCTATGGGGCAGAGACAAAAATATATACTGACGGTGTTGGTTCTGATCTTGGGTCTCAGCATGGTGTCCATGAAGATAGGGGTAGGAAGTACATCCGAAACGTCGGCAACACTGCCCACATTAATATAGTGCAAAGACACAATACTAGAATCAACATCAACAATCAGACACAAAATCCTACAAGAAATACCCAAGTCACGTTATGACTGACGTTCGGTCAGAACTCCTTGGGCTGCTAATCGGATTATAGTGTGAGGTCATGGCACCCAAGTCACGTTACGACTGACGCTCGGTCAGAACTCCTTGGGCTGCTAATCGGATTATAGTGTGAGGTCATGGCACCCAAGTCACGTTATGACCGACGCTCGGTCAGCCTTCCTGGGGCTGCTAATCGGATTATAGTGTGTGGTCATGGCACCCAAGTCACGTTATGACTGACGTTCGGTCAGCCCTCCTTGGGCTGCTAATCGGATTATAGAGTGAGGTCATGGCACCCAAGTCACGTTACGACTGACGCTCGGTCAGAACTCCTTGGGCTGCTAACCGGATTATAGTGTGAGGTCATGGCATCCTGGAGCCCACATATAGTGACAGATAAGAGACCGAAACGTCGCACGGCAAGCCTTGAGACTTACCTTTTGAGGGTCGCGTGTTTGGATCCGTTGACAATGAGTTTCGGTTTGGGCTTCTCGGTCGGGGTCATCGTGTGCTGACTGGCGTTGCTGCTGCTGATGCTGCTGACACTGCTCTCTGATGATAGGTTAGACGCCTTCACATTCGCCGCCGTTGTCTTGATGATGACCTTTCGACTGTCAGATTCGGGTTGGACGGTTGTTGTTGCCGCAGTGGCCGACGGCACGCTCACATGATTGTGGCGCTGGTTGTTGTGTTGTTGCTGTTGTTCTAACTCCAGTTCTAACTGCAAATGGGTCTTATTTGGCATTGGGGGAGGCTTGTCCTCCACGGGAAGCATGTAAGACAACATAGCTACCACCTCACAACGGAAAAAGGAAACTCTCTCTTCTAATACTGCCTTCTGATTTATACAAATAAATATAAAACAAATCACCAATCACACATCACTTTTCAACATGTGTTTTTCAATATCACACATGTAAGAACAAGCCGGTTTACGATTACTTTAAATTACTGAACTGTTTAACTGAATTTTCAGCATGGACAGATACAGCAAAGCATGGCCACGTATCTCTTCGTACGGAGGGTCATATTGACGTTTGTAGGAACCAGATGACGTAGTGAGGGTCCACTGGTTTGTTCCCCGGTGCAGAAACTCATACTACGGCGGCGCGCGGTGGAGCCCGTACCAGTCTACTGGGATGGAGCTCAGGTGGTGATCTGGCTATGATGTGTAGTTCTGGAGGCTGGCGATGGTGGCAGCACTGTTACACGGAGACCCCACACCATGTTTCCCGCTGACATCACTGCGAGGCGCTGATGTAGTTGTCACTGTTACGCGTGCGCACTCCGTCATTCATCTGTAACAGAAAGCGAACAGTTACGACACTGTCCGAGGTCTCCGATTGAATTTATGTTACTGTCAGTATTTCAGGCTATGTAGGACCGTATGGTAGCGTGACTGATGAACTGGAAAGGATCCGAAAGGAAGCGGTCGTGGTCGTGGCGTAATCAAGGTATTATCCCGGAATTTGCCTGAAGCGACGGCGGGAAACCTCGAGAAACGTCAAGATAGCAGGTGTCACAACCTAGATTCGAACCCAGTACCTACCGGATACAAGTCTATAGCGTTACCGCTAAGACAGCCTACTCGATGTCAGAGCCTCATAAAAGACCATTTCTGTGAACACTATGAGCTTACGGATTTCATAACAAGCGCGGAATTTCTCGACTGGCTGAGCGACTGTCAGTTTATCATGAAGGATCCTGCTATATTTAGTTAGTTGCTACCTCTCAGAAAACACGTCACACGTTCGCTACAGAGTCCAACNGGTTAATGGTGTTTGGGGGGGGGGGGGGGGGGGGGATCGCTGTTTATTGTGAGAATCATATGAGACACGCCCATAAAATCTGTGGGTAAAGTTTTTCTTATGTTAAAGCAGGTGGAACATATTGTCACATGTATTAGTGACTAAAAGCGGGGTTCGGTTTGGTAATTCGATTTATAATCCACCCAAAGGTAGTAACTACACTTGATTATAACACTCTTAAGATCACTGCAATTATAACACATAAATAAAGTCCTATATATCTGCTTGCACTAGTCGTTGCTAGGTAAGAGATCTCAACTATGGCTAAGGCTTGACAGTGTCTTTACTATCCGTTTCCTGACCCTTTAAGCCCAGTGGTTAATACATATACCACCCAGATTTAATACGATAAAACTCTGCATTCTGCCCACACAGAGTGTATCTGTGTGTTCCGTATGGTTCTCACAATAAACAGATACTGTTTCCCTAAACAACATTAACCGGCTGGGCTTTGTAACGGAGACGCAATGTGTTTCCTGTGAGGTATGGACTGAATATCTACATTATTTGTGTTCAGTGTGGTTCTCACAACAAACAGCGACTGTTTCCCTAAACAACATTAACCGGTTGGGCTTTGTAGCGGAGACGTAATGTGTTTCCTGTGAGGTACGGACTGAATCTCTATACTATTTGTGTGTTCCGCGTGGTTCTCACAGTAAACAGCGACTGTTTCCCTAAACAACATTAACCGGTTGGTCTTTGTAGCGGAGTCGTAACGTGTTTCCTGTGAGGTTGATATACTATATTAAAATTATTATTATAGACACGCGTTCCTACTGGGGGCTGTAGTTTGCCCACCCCTGCCCTATCTAGTGGCGGACGTTAAGTATACGCGATACTTCTTCATATACAGCGGCCGCTTCGCACTGGAGGGGCTGCGAACAATGAGTCATGATTTCGGTAACCTTCGGTACTGCGCGGGCGAGACACTTCACGGAGTTCCTATGCAAACACGCGATACAAGGATTCACGGCGGTGAAGAGAGTACTAAGGTTACGGCGGTACATACTGCCTCCCTTTTCAGGCCTAAACTGAAATGAAATAAAGTACATAAAAAACACGGGCATAGTATAGACACAGAAAGGCAAAGGTAAAACCGATAACTGAAAAAATAACAAATCAGATGTAATAATAAAGAAATTAATTAATAAAACCCTAAGCTCTCCCTTTACTTAATTAATGAAGTACCACGCCACAAGGACGTATAGGAGAATTGAGGTATGGCTCCACCATTCTTGACGCAGGTGAGTGGTCGCTTTACCCCCGAGGAAAGAAGCCCCCATTTCCCACGGAAGAGGAAGCTGGGTGAGCCGCAGAGCCAGTCTGCAGTATCCACAGCAATTGCCCCGCATGAAAAGCTCGCAGTTGGAGAGAAACTGTCTGGGGCTGGCGTAAGGCTTTGTGTGGCCTGGAAGGTGTTGGAATCCTTTGATCCGGCGAATCACACCAACACCAAATTCCCCCTGCGGTTGCGGTGTACAGTCAGGGATTCTCAGAAATCACCAGCGAACTGCAACACAAATGTTTAAGTGAAGCTGTCCCTGTGTTCAAGTAGGAACCACCACACCGTGAAGACTGGAAACCTCAACCCCACACGGAAATGAGTGGTCACATTCATAGTCATCCCCCTGTGACCCCGGGGAAAGAACCCCCGATACCTTTGGACAGAAAACAGGGTTGGGCCCAGAATCGATCTGAACACGGTGAAAGTAAAGTTACCCCTGTACTTCAGCGGCGGCCCGGGTTCGATTCCTTTGAAAACATGCAAAAAATGAATTTTGCCCAAAGACTTATACTGCCAATTCCTGCACTTTAAGTACTCTCGTGTTATTAACAGGCAGTTCATTAAATTCCATGAGACAAGGTCAGGGCTAAAACAACTGCCATCACTTCTCTGAGCACGTGACCACAGCCGCCATTATGCAGCAAATTAAATTGTGGGATTGTGTCTGTGTAAGTGTAGGCTTGCTTGCTCAAAACCGCAGCAATGGCGTGCTCCACCCTGCAAGCAAGACAGAAGAACTGTTACAAGTTTGAGTCATCACTACAGCAACCCAGTGGAGTGTCTTTCTGATTGGTTTATCGCTGAAACTGCTCCTGCGTCGCTGCGTTGCGTCCCGCGTTCCCAAAGGCGCGATGCTCATCCATCTCTTCGCAGGGTTTTCGTGTTTTTGTCGGAACTGTATACGTTAGTTTCGGTGACCTCATAAATCTTAGCTAAACGAATGCGCAGCTCAGATGTGAGGCACAGGAATTCCTGGGACTGGCTCCCACACCAGCACAAACGGATCGTTTCACGCAGCATGCAGGCATCTAACGATGGTGCTCTGAACGCTGTCTCTATCACTTCCTCAAGTCTTGCGAAACACTCCATCATGTGTTTGAGATGAGAACGGTCCTTTCTGCGTTGGGCCAAGGGACTGAGTCCACGCGCCAAATTTCTTCTATATAATATGTAATATTCAGTCCGTACCTCACAGAAAACACACTACGTCTCCGCTACAAAGCCCAATCGGTTAATGCTGTTTAGGGAAACAGTCTCTGTTTATTGTGAGAACCATACGGAACACACAAATAATATAGATTCAGTCCGTACTTCACAGGAAACACATTACGTCTCCGCTACAAAGCCCAACCGGTTAATGCTGTTTAGGGAAACAGTCACTGTTTATTGTGAGAACCAAACGAAACACATAAATACACTCCATGGATTAGAATACACAGCTCCAGTATGTTAAAACTGGTGGTACGTATAGTAACCACTGAGCTTTATATGGGGTTAACACCTGACGACGGAAATTCGTAACGTGGTCCAATTTCTCAGCCTCTTTAAAGCTGTTTATTTTTGCGGATTACTATACGACATATTCAGTATCTAGACAACACAGTTTCTGACGGAAGGATCACCGATGAACAGTGAATGTGAAGGGACTTGAAGGAGTGACTGTGGCCTAATTAAGGTAGTACTGCATTTGGCTGGAGGGACTGCGAAACCCACGAAAATCCTACTGAGTGAGCCGGTGTCGATACCGAGATTCGAACCGAGTGCTAGAGTAGACTGTATGTATGTAGCCTGACTGATTGGCTCTGCACAGGATCCTCAGTCCTCGCGCCGTGTAAAGGCCGTTTTTCTCTTGTTCCCCGACCGTACTTCTTCGGCTGCAAGGGGCCGTGCCATAGCTCAAGCGGTTAGTCGCTGGCTTCCCGATCCCGGGTCTGGTCAAGTGGGATTTGTGGTGGACAAGGTGGCGCTGGAGCAGGTTTTCTCCGAGTACTTCAGTTTCCCCTGCCAATCTTCATTCCACCAATTGTTCCACAATCACCCTCACCTATCATCTGGGGCTGGTACAATAGGCCAGAAGTGGCCGCAGTACAAGGGACTTAGCCCCACCCCACTAGCAGTAAAAAAAAACTCGGCTGCAACAGGAGCTTCTGTCTACCCTGCGATCTGACGTCAGCAGCAGATCCAGTTTCCGAAATACCGTGTTTAACAAATCCTGAGGGATAACGCCCAAAATATAGGTCAAATTTACATTTCGGTAATGCAACCGTGAGGTTTTCACGATTCGTGCTGTGGTTCTCTCCCAAGCGTCTATTAACGTTCCTGACGCACATCAGACCCCAAGATGTAGAACATTCTCGAAACGTCGGTCATCACCACGGAGAATACACTGACGTAACCCAGACGACCGCTATTTCAGTATCCAGCGAGCTGCCGTAGCGGTACAACTCCAGACTTGTAATCGGGTAGTGTTGGGTTCGATTCCCGGCTAGGACACGTTGTATCCTGATACTTCTGTGGTTTTCCTCAGTTCCTTCAGGAATATTCTGGGACAGTACCTCCTCCCGCATCCCTTCCCTTTTATCCATCGTCTTACCGTTCTTACGCTACCCAGTCTGACAGCTTCATAAAATTAGAGCAAAACACGGACAACGACACCGCCATCTGTGAGCCGATTGTCTAGAAAATGTGGAAGCCTCGACGTCTCACAACCCTATGGGCCTCCACGGCCTGTTACAGGGATAGCTTTAGCTCTGCTATTCCTACACGAAGCTGATGAATGCGGCGTGGCCATGACGTCACTGCCAGAAGCTTTAGAGATCTGATGAGCTATTTAAACAATGAACACTGTCCAAATTCAAGTCATTGTCGCCAGCATTCAGAGCGGCACATGCAATTACTCTACTTACTGTTGCTCAGCTCTTGTCCACAATTATTTCAGGCATCACAACAGAAGCTGATGCGTGGGCCGTCGGAAGATGCGAGCGGATATCCTGTGCTGTCACAATAAATCGTCAAAGACAATGACGAACCATCGGGCCGCCGGCCCACCTGGTTACCGGTACTTCACGCCACAACACCCACTCTGGGTGGACTTATACGGTGTTACGGTGAGGTCACGTTGCTAGGACAAAAATACGACGGAGATGTTGATGTAATGCGGCATATTCACAGCAACAAGCGCACTGAAACGGGGGCTTTACATACG